ATCATCATCATCCTCCTCCTCCGCCGCCTCCTCTCTGCATTACCGTTATTAGTATTATCGATAATGGTAAGAATCCGAATAATACGAATCCGACTAATAAAAATACTAACAACCATAATGATAATACTACTAAGAGTACTACTGATAATAAGACTGGGAGTGCTAATGATAATAATGATACTAATGACGAAAATACTAATATTAACATTGGTGGTGGTAGTAGTAGAATTAATAGTATGCTGGGTCGTCGTATCCGTCTCATTGGTTATATGTACATAGTATTCATGAAATGAACAGTTGTACTACTAGCGTTATTGTCCGTAGTATCAGTATTGATGATAATAATCCTAGTCGTAGTGCTTGTATGTTTAGTTTTACTCAGACTCGTCGTTGGCTTATTATTATCACGATTCATTATCCTCATCCCCCTCATCACCATCATCAGAGTCATCCTCCGCTTGCCTCATCTTACATCATCCTACCTATTGTTATATGGTCGTACCTCATCTTACTTAATCTTACCTCCTCTTCTCTTACCTCCTCGTAACTCCTCTTACATCCTCTTACCTCATCGTACCTCCTCTTATCTCCTCTTACCTCCTCTTACCTCGTCTTACCTCCTCTTACCTCCTCTTACCTCCTCCTCCTCCTCCTCCTCTGACCTCCTCTCTCCTTCTCCTCCTCCTCCTTCTCCTCCTCATCCCCCTCCCCCTCCCCCTCCCCCATCTCCCTCCCCCTCCCCCGCCCACCATGGGAGAACGGAGGCTGCTCGTCTTGGCACAGGAGAACTGGCGGGCAAGAGCGACCAACCACACCTCCTCGCCTGACTCGGGAAACCTCGGCTTCAACGGCCGCAGCTGCTCCTGACCCAAACCTCCCCACAGGCCGCCCGAATCCGCTGATCGTTCAGAAGCACAAGCTTCGAGAATGTGCCTCTCACTGGATAGTTGATGGCGCAATGCGCAAATAGTTCTTTGCAAAGTAGAAAAATGATGTCGGAGGGCGTTGGCTACCTCAGAGCCACTCGATGCCATGGGGATCAGACCAGGCCCAGACTCGATACGCGCGTTTGCAATGTCAAGCTTGGGTCAAAGAGGCGGCGGAGAGCAAGTTTGCTTGAACACAGCCTTCGAGACCTTTATCATTGGGGCCAGGGCTATATCTTCAGCAGCGTTCCAACGAGGGTGCACGAAGGTTCTTGTCATCGCAGCTGTATCGGCATGGCTGGTGCCACGCCGTAGCCACTTGTCTCTTGGAGAAACTCCAGGCTCGTCGATTTCGAGATGACCCTCGAACCCATTGGAGACCCTGCTGGAAAAAAACTGCAACATCCCCGCATGGGGGGCGGCAATGCGCAAGTTGTTCGCTAACACGGCCAGCGCACAGCTTAATCTCATTTAGACAATCCGAAACAAACAAGAAACACCAAAAAAAAGCAAGAGGCCAGCAACCTGAAAGGCCCCCATGGCAATATCATTAGAATCCCCCACTTGGGGGGGGGGGGGGCAGGCAAGAAGTGGCTGGGGCGGGGCCGACAACCTGGCCAACAACGCCCCCTTGGCGATCGACAGGAACGACCCTCCGACCCGCTCTGCCGAGCCGGCGAATCATGCGCCCGCCGCAGCTGCCGACAACGAACAACCCCCGATCCCCGCCCCCCCTCGACGGGTCGACCCAGGAACACGACGCAGCGCCAGCGGCAGCTGTCCGAGGGCGAACATCACCATGGTGCCCAGAGCAAACCTCGAGAGAAAGGAGGCACTTCATCTTTTTGGGCGACCCAGAAGGGGGTCCAGCTGAAAGGGGGTGGTGCAATAGATTTGAAGCAATTGTATTGCAAATGTGTTGCGCTGGAGAATTGTATCGCATTGCATTGCAAGCAATGTATTGCACGCGACAGTCCAGCATACGTTTGAGCCGCGGAATGTATTGCACGCCCCAGATGTACTGCAACCCCACAAATCTTCTACTGCGCCAAATCTACTGCACCACCCCCTTGTCGCTGAACCCCATTTTGGGTCAACCGGAATCTTCAGACCGATTGCAAGGATCATGCTTCCTGATTTGAAGGGGCCCTGGGACACACAAATAAGTACACAAATGAAAGGATGTTCCATATTTTCTCATATTTCCTGGGTTTTCGTCTTCCCCCACACTTCCCATACTTTCCCATCTTTTCCTGGGAGTCGACGATGAATTGTGTCGGTGTGTTCTTCCCCTCCTGATGACTGGGCCCCTCGTCAAACCGCTCCTCGCACGCTCGGCCCCGCACGCCTAGGGCGCCCCCACACGGCCGGCGGCGCTCGAAGAGCCCACGGGGACCGACTGCACAAAGCGCGCGCGCTTGGCTGACGGAGGGAGGGGGACACCCAGCACCGACCCCTCGACGACGCGTCCAATCGCACCGCGCGCTAATGGTAAGCTGGGCATGTCCCCCTGCAAGCGGATTTTGGACGAGAAATAACCAGTACCCCAAGAATACCCCAACAATACTGAAAAATGAACAAAAAAACGCCCCCTGACTATTTATCCATATTCCTCCTGTAGAGGGACAAGCCCTTCTTAACGCTAATGACGTGGAGCAACCGCGCTCGGGCGGGATGGCACGCCCCGCTCGCACGTGCGAGTTGACGACATCGCCGCAAAGCCCAGCGCCCCCCCAGCCTCGGCGGCCGCCGAGTGCTCTCGGGCACGGGGCGAGGCCTGCAACCGCAGCGTCGCGAGGAGCGAAAGGCCGAGCAGCGCGAGACGAACCTCCCCCCAAAAGTCGGCGACCAACGCCGCATTGTCGCGCATCCCCCATCCGATCCTGGCAAGAGAGAGCCCGAGGGCTCCGGGCGGCCACTCCACCCGGCGCCATTCGGTGACATCGGAATGGCGAATCCGAGCTCCAGCGCTGGCAGAGCCCCCCTCAGACTTGCCCAAGCGAGCACGCATCCGCGCGCGCGGCCCACACCTCTTCGGCGCACCTGCGAACGAGAGCGCGCCGGAACTCCGCCCGTCCCCGACCAGCCATAACTGGGGGAGCCGTGGTCCTTATCCCCCTGGGGGAACCCATCGCATCGACGATCTCTCGAGAGGGGTGTCGAAATCGATGGGTCCCCCAGAGGGGGTGAGGACCACAGCTCCCCCAGTTGTGGCTGGCCTGCGTCCAGGGCCACCTTCCAAGGGGCACCGACCAATTTGAAACTGCGGCCCTCGGCTCTCGGGCCGCAAGAGCCTCGCCAGCGGCCCGCCCACCTCGCAGCAGCCCGAGGCCGGGCACCCTGATGACCGCGGCCCCGCGAGAGACCCCCAGAGACAGCCCGAAACGAGAAAGTGCTTCGAGTAGGAGCTCGACCACGAGAAACTTCCCACGAGAAGTCCAGCCCTGAGACCCCAGGGCACCCGTTGAGTCCTGGCGTGAGGGCGTCATTCTCTCCATCGCAAAACCATCGAAAACCAAGTAACCCAGTGCAACCCGGAGGCAAGCCAGGCGTTTCTCGGCATGGGCCCCCACTGCGCGTGGGGACGACCGGATCCAAGTAGGAGCAGCATGTAGGTGGCGATCTGCACCACAGCGCCTGTGCACACCAGGGTGCGCGCGTGCACCACAGCGCGCGTGCATACCACAACGCTGGTGTGCACCGCGTCAGCTCTCTGAAACACAGCGCCTGTGTACACCACAGTGCTTGCGTGCACCACATCGCATTTTACCACAACAAACGTGTACACCGCAGCAGCCGTCTGCAACACAGCGCCTGTGTACACCACGATGCTTGCGTGCACCGCAGCGCACGTGCAGACCACAACGCCTGTGTACACCACATCATCCGCGTGCAACACACCACTGGTGTACACCACAGTGCCTGCGTGCACAGGACTGGTAGAAGAAGCGCCACGGTGCCATGCCACAGCGCCCCCATGCCACAACGCCCCCGCTGCACTGCCTTCACAGTGCCCCCCGCTTCAAGCGCACACTGCTAGGAGGACGCCGCCTTCGTCTCAGTGCGCGTCCCGATCCCCACGGCACGACACCTCCTCCTCCTCCTAATCCTCCTCCTCCTCGGGAATACTCGTGAATTCCAGAAGCGTACCTTTTTCCGTAAGGATTCTTTCCCAAACCCTATATAAAACAATGTGTCAGTTGAGTTCCGCGGGTGGCCCATTTTGTCATAAGGATACACAACAATGGTGTTATGTTGCACACGGCTGCTGTGGTACACACAGGCGCAGCGGTGCACGCAAGCACTGTGGTGTACACAGGCGCTGTGTTGCAGACGGATGCTGCGGTGGACACGTTTGTTGGTGGTCTAAACAGGCGCTGTGGTGCACGCAAACTCTGTGCTTCACACTGGCGTTGTGCTGCACGCGACTCTTGTGGTGCACATAGGCGCCGTGGTGTAATTACTCAGGCGCTCTGGTGCACGCAAGCACCGGGGTCCAAACCCGCGCTGCAGCACGGGTGTGCACAGGCGCTGTGGCACGGGTTGCCGCCTACATGCTGTTCATACCCGCCCTCGGTCATTCCCAGGCATTCCCAGACGCCGCTGGCGCGAAAAACGCGACGTCACCGGCCCACCCCCCTCGTGACGGGCGCCATCGCCCTGGAATACAAGAACGGGCTCCTGTCGTCGGACAGACGAGGAGGAGGAGGAGGAGGACGAGGAGCAGGACGAGAAGGACGAGGAGGTAGACGAGGAGGAGGACGAGGAGGAGCAGGAGGAGGAGGAGGAGGAGGAGCAGGACGAGAAGGACGAGGAGCAGGACGAAGAGGCGGACGAGGAGGAGGAGGAGGACGAGGAGGAGGAGGAGGAGGAGGAGGACTCTGGGCGAGACTGGGCGGGCGCCGCGCACGGGCGCGGGCACGCCGCCTGCCCCACCGCGCCGCCGTCCGCGCCGAGCACGTGCCGAGACCTCGGCTCCGCGCCGCCTCTGCGGCGAGCCGACGCTGAGCCCGCGTCGGGCCCGCGTCGGGCTACGTTAGGTTCGTGTCGTGCCGACTTCGGCGTTGGTTTCTGACACCACGGAGATCGTTCAATTTTGAACGATCGGCCGTCCCAGAAACACCAGATCGTTCCACATCGACCGATTCTGGGTCGCCAGCGGCGTTCAACATTGAACGCCAACGGCGGGGTCGCCGCCGGTCGACACGACACGAACCTACCGTACAGGCCCCCCGAGGATGCCGCCACATTTCCATGAAACCGCGCCCTCGCGCGCGCGAGCGCAGAATGCAAGAGTGCCGCGCTCGCGTGCCATTCATGTACATCAAGGAAGCTCTACGAATTCCTGGCGGTAACCAAGGTTGACGGTTTACCGCCGGCTTCCAGTTGCGAGGGGTCGCCCGTCCCCACTGGGCAGGCCCTGCGCTGCGCATGGGCCCGGAGCAGGCCCGCCACCGCGAGCGGCCAGCCACGCGGGCGTGCGCGAGCCCCCGGCAGGCGACCTGCGCACCCTCCGCCCCCTATGGCGGCAGACGCGGGCAGCCCTGGCAGGGGGGCGGGGCGGGGCGGAAGCGGAGGCTGGCGCTCGAATGCGGGCCGTTTCCTAGCGATGCACCCCCCAGTCCAGCCCCCGATGCAGTCGCGGGGGACGGGGGCGTCACGTGGGGCTTGAAGTGGCCGACGGCGAGGCGGCCCCCCCCCCCGTCTTGTCGAGGCATTGCATGTTGCGGCAAAAGCTTGGGGAGGTGACTGTATCGATACTCAGGCCGCCCCGGAGCAGGCAAACTGTTGAAAGCTTGGTGCCATTCAAACCCTGATGCAAGAATGAAGAAAAGGGTGGAATCGCTAAGCGGGCGAAGCATGAGTGTGAGGTTGCCCAGATGTGGAAGCCTGGGAAGAGCGAGCCTGGATCTCGAAGCTCGAAAGAGCTGCTCCAAAAAGCTCGAACAAAGCTGAAAACAAAACACGACAGACATCCATGCCTCCCCCCTCCACGCCGTCTGCGTTGAACATGTGCAGAGAGCTGACCGCCACGTCGGCGTCGAGCAGCACGTGGCGCGTGAGGTCCACCATGACCAGCAGGCTGGCCACCACCAGCACGGCGAACGGTGCCCTGCCCGCCCCCCGCCGCCGCCAGCGCCAGCCAGACGCCCTCGAGGCTGGAATGCCACCAGCCCCCTCCCCCTCCTCCTCCTCCTCCTCCTCCTCCTCCTCCTCCTCCTCCTCCTCCTCCTCCTGCTCCTCCTTCTCCGCCCTCCTCCTCCTCCTCCTTCTCTGCCCTCTCCTCCTCCTCCTCCTCCTCCTCCTCCTCTCTCCCTCCTCCTCCTCCCCTCCTCTTCCTCCTCCTCCTCCTCCTCCTCCTCCTCCTCCTCCTCCTTCTCCTCCTCCCCCCGACCCAAGACGAGGCCAGGACAAGGGCGACGGACAAAAGGTAAGTCTGGGACCTCTGAGTTCTTGCGGCTCTGAGGCATGGCGCCACGTCCTTCTCAGAGCGCTCCGGAGCGCTCAGAGAGCGTTCCGGACCGCTCTGGAACGATTTATCCCTGTCCTAATGACTACCTACCAGACCACCCCAACCCAACCCGAAGACCCGCATGTCGGGTTGGGCGGGATAGGGGCTCCATATTTTTGCTGCAATGTTCCCCGACCCCACCCCCACTGGTAGTGGAGGACACATCGGGGCCTTCGGGTTGAGTTGGGTGGCTTGGTGGGCGGTGTTCTGGCCCCGCCCGACCTTCCCCTCCCCCTCCCCCTGGGTCTGGACGGGGGGGACGACCGCGACCCATTTGAGCGTCGTGTCGAACTCGAGCCAGATCAGCTGCGCAAGCAAACCAACGCCATCCAAACATCGGGCTGCATCGGATCATCGGAATATCGGGATCGAATCGGATCGGGCCGGACGGAATCGATAATTATCGAATCACGTCCAAGAGAGGCAACTCCAAGCGACAAGAGAAAGCGACGAATGTTCAAGGAGGACCGCAGCGGCACCCTGCCGTCGCGAGCTCTGCGAAGGAGCCTGCCCTAGCTTCGAAGATTCACGGCTACGCGAGGCGGCCCGCAAGTAGTGTACAGAAGTTTGACGTAAAAACACGCATAGGCTCGTGAACGCAGGACCGTGAACGACCACGCATCCTGCCCATAACCTAGAGCGGGTGACCTCGAAATCCCTCACTACGCCTGAGCGTACAAGGCCTTGGCCTTGGCATAAAGCGCCTTTCCCTCCGGCTTCTTGCCGTTGACGGCCACGAAGCCCTTCAGGCCGAGTGCAGCCCTCGCCTTGGCGACGCACTCGGCCCACTTCTTCACTCCAGCGAAAAGCTTCTTGCCCGCCGCGTGCTTCTTCTTCGACACGACCTTGCCGCGCTTGTTCCTCATGAGGCCATCCTTCGTGAGGCCCCCCGAAGTCTTCACCTTCGCGCCCTTCAGCACCTGGCTCTTGGCCTGCACGCCCTTGGCGATCGTGCTCGTGCTCTTCTTCTTCATCGCCGCCTTCATGCCGGTCTTCATCGCGGCCTTCATGCCCGTCTTCATCGCGGCCTTCATGGGCAGCGCCATGGCCCTCCTGGAGCGG